GAAAGTAAACTAAGCACCCCACATTCATACTCTTTAACTCTTTGAGACTTCAAAGCAGGGTGGCCTCATTCAAACTGTTTACTGGTCTCAACTTCCACACTATTCTGAAGAAATATGGTACAAAGGTCAAACTAACCCTAGTCAAACCTGGAGAATGGACTCTTCTTGTCATTGAACAGTGTAGGTGTAGTTCAACCACCCAGCTGTGGTCTGAGCCACAAATGCTTAATTTTCTAGTGAAGTCTTGCATCTATAATCTTCCATGCAGTTACACTGAAGGCAAAGGGCCTGATGTTTCATCACCTCATAAGAAAGACTGCAGCAAAGTTGTGTAATTCCTTGACCTAGGGTTCTAAACACTTTGTTATTTTATTTGTTCAGAGGCTTTATATCAGGAGAACGAGCCTCCTGACTCGCTTAAACTGGGATCGTGCTCATTTAACTCTCCTAGGGTGCAGTCCAGCAATGGACGCTGTAGGGAGCATGTAAGTCACTGCAGTTATCGCACATTTATACTTAAATCCCCAATGCCTGGGACTTGATCATGGCCTGAGTTTCATACTTCATGTAAATTTGCTACATGCCTCCTTTCTCCGGCAGTGGATTTAGCCCATAGATATCAGTGCGCTAAGTGATACCTGCTCCCAGCTCTCTAAGATGAAGTGAGAGGGCCCTTAATTTATTTTATATTTTCAGTTACATATTTTGCTTCTCTTCTCTGGAGCATTCTTTCTTCAGCCCACACATGAAAGCATGAAGCAAGCCAGTTTCTTGTGGAAATAGAGGGTAGTTTTACTCAGGAATCCTTTCCTTTTCCTGCTTGCATTGATACATGAGGGAAAATGGGAACCTGCCCAGCACGGCAATGCTGTGCGTGCGGTGGAAAGAGACACGGTCCTGTAAATGAGAATAGTGGATAATAATCTGTGGAAGTGCTTTGGCTTCCTTCTTGGGGTGCTGCCTGAGAACAGAGGTGGAAAACCTGAGAAGAAAATCATGCAAAGAGGCTCAGGGGTGAGGTGGGGTTTTCGTCTCCTTAGGGAATTTCATACAGGGCCGATTCTGTATCCAAGCAGTCATGGTCTGGAAAGTGCCAAGGGAGTGTAGCCAGCTCACATATTTTAGAGCTGGATTTGAACTTTAGGTTGTAACTTTTATATTTTCTGACCAAATTTGCATGTTACGCAAAACTGTACTTCTTTAAACAAGCCAGAACTTCACTTTCCATAATCACTAAATGTGCACTCTCTAAGCAGAGGATTAATTCTGCTGCATGATTGATGAAGAAGTTATGAAGGAGGAGAAAGAAGACACCACTTCTTTGCTTTCATTGCTTGTGCTGGTGGTTTTGAGATTAAAACTCAGCCCTTTGTTTTTTACTTGATTTAATCCAACTGGCATTTCTTGTTGCTGAGAAGACAATTCCAATCAATTACTGGTAATTGTTTCCAGATCATATTCCCCCCCTCTGCTCTTTTTGCTAAACAGATTTTCTAAAGGGCATGACTGTAACTCAGATAATTTGTATTCAAGCCTAAATCTGTATCAAAAGCGTGCAAGCTTAGTGGGGAAGGTAATCTTTCGCCTTTTTGTCAATAAGTAGGCAAGTAAATACATTGCCTGCTGTGGCATAACGTGTTGAGGGAGCCGCATGGGGCAGTAATGGCATGCTGGGTCCCTCACGTTGACTTGTTCTGTAACGCTAGCAACAAGCATCCTGCAGTCCTCACGCAGGCAAAGCTTCTCAGTGGAGTATGGAAAGCAAGAGCTAGCAAGAGCAGTTTACAGGCTAGTGCAGAAAACCTTTGAGCAGGTGTGGGAGGACAGGCAGAAATGGCAAGTATCTGTCTCTCTAAGCTGCTAAGAGTTTCTGACACAGAGAGGAACCAGTGAGCACTTGTAGCATGTCACGGCAGGTCCATTCCTTTCCTGTGTCCCTGAAGAAAAGCAGAATTTCACTGTCAGATCCCCTCGTGATCAATCAGTGCTCTCAGCAGAGAGGCCAGACTGATCTACCCAGGAACTAGAATGCCAAGGCTCAAAAAGAGAAGGTGAAAGACCTGCGTATCTGCATACAGAGGCTTGGGCTAAGTACAGCGCATGTGAAAACACATCATTCCAAACAAGAAATGCCTTTGGGAACCTAGAGCTGTATGGGACCCCCTGGCATTGCTCTTCCGGGGAATAAGTTGGGCAAGTCAGAAATTTTGATTATATCAAGTTCCTATGGCTTTCCTATGGCTCCTATCAAGTTCCTATGTCTTTGATTTTATCAAGTTCCTATGGCAAGACTATCAGGTTCATGCTTGAATAGGACTCAGGAAATATGATCTGACAGAGTAAAATTAGACCACCACAGAAAACTGTCAGTCTTCAGCTGACTTCAGATTAAACAAAAGCAAGTTCCCCATCCTTAGGTTGAAGAACTCTTCTGTAACTGTATGCAATAAATGGGCTGACCCACATAGCTGTATTAATCAGCAGTTATATATCTGCATCACCAATAATGCCTTTAGAAACAGTTTTCTCTGCAGAAAGATCCAATTAATCTTTCTCCAGCTTCTTTTGTTCTCAGTTTTTAGTCGTTGCAGAAAATTTGCAGTCTTTGTCTACTAGGAAAACTGAGAATAGAAATGACTTGTCCAACACCAACAAGATAGCAGGGAATTCAGTCTTCATCTGGAGTTCAAGATAGTACCCTTAACTGGGCAGTTCTTTTGCTTTAGACTCTGCAGTTAATAAACTTCATTTCACTACTTTGAGAACTATGTCCAGAGCACTGCCACAGAGATGATCAAGGGATTGGCGCCTCCCCCATGAGGACACCCTGAGAGAGTTGAGGCTGTTCAGCCTGGAGAAGAGAAAGTTCCCAGGAGACCTTAAAGCAGCCTGCCAGTACTTAAAGGGGGCTACAGGGAAGATGGGGAGGGACTCTTTGTCAGGGAGTGTAGTGATAGCACAAGGAGTAACAGTTTCAAGCTGAAAGAGAGTAATTTAGCTTAGATATTAGGAAAAAATTATTTTCTGTGAGGGTGATGAGGCACTGCAACAGGTTGTCCAGAGAAGCTGTGGATGACCACTCCCTGGGAAGTGCTCAAGGCCAGGTTGGACAGGCCTTTGAGTGACCCCGTCTAGTGAGAGGTGTCCCTGCCCATGGCAGGGGGGTTGGAACTAGATGATCTTTAAGGTCCGTTCCAACACAAACCATTCTATGATTCTATGATCAAATACAGAGAAAGGCTGCCCAGAGGGGTTGTGGAGTCTCCAACCTTTGAGATACTCAGCACTGAACACAGACCTGAGCAGTCTGCTATAGCTGGTCCTGCTCTGAGCAGGGCAGAGTGGTCTAGATGATGCCTTCCCACTTCACCCATTCTTTGGTTCTGCAATTTATTTCTCTATGATGCCTCAGCAGATCTGGAAAAGGGTGTCTTGAGGGTCTGTCTGGCAGGTCTACTGCTGTTTTGCACTCAAATATTGTCAGTCCCCCCCAAAGTGAGTAGTTTGGCACACTCGGTACTGAAATGCTCACTCAGAATGAGTCCTTTCAATAAGAATGAGGACATTTCTAAGGTAAACATGCTGTTATTGGTTAAGGAATTTTGTAACTTCCAATGTATTGCAGGTAAAGTAGGTTTCTTTAACAAGCAATGATGTCAACATGTTCTCTACATAGATTGGTTGGCTATATTAAGAAACATCAGCCTATTCCTTTAAAGACTTTGGTCATCATGATAGTCTTTGAAGACTGCTGTTAAGTTCTCTCTGCAGGGAAACCAGTGATCCAAGGAAGCTGAGGCAGCGACAATATCAGAAGAAAGCAAACCAACTCTGAACATCAAGAAAAAGAAGCTTGATGCAAGAGATTACTATCCTGTAAGTCTAACAAACTTCTGTCTTATACAAATTAACCATGAAAACATGAAGACTTTCTTCATTCCCACATGACTGCAGATCAAAATGCAGCACAGACTTACAGGATAGCTATTGCCATTGGTCGAATTCCACTAGCAGACCATGGCAAGAAAAACATAGTCTGTAAAACTAATTTTGGCAGTTGTTCAGCACAGCATTTTGTACTCCCTCTCACTCACAAAATTAAGTCAATCTAGACAAAGAAATGTGTTATGGAACGAACACTGTCCATAAACAATGTCTGAGATGATAAAACAGGTACTGCAGGAGTCTACATCCAGACTTAGTTTATACCTTCATTTTTTCATCTATAAGAATAGTTAAGAGGAAGATACTTACAATTTCAGAAGATTCTAGAGAAATTAAAAGGGGGAAAAATATGGAACAATGGTAAGACAGGAGTAGGGAGAGAAAAAAGTAGATAGGAGGAAGAATTCCAAACTAATGTGATTTCTCTTTAGCTTGGAGAAGAGGAGACTGAGGGATGACCTAATTAATGTTTATAAATATGTAAGGGGTGAGTGTCACGAGGATGGAGCAAGGCTCTTCTCGGTGGCAACCAACGGTAGGACGAGGGGTAATGGGTTTAAACTGGAACACAAGAGGTTCCACTTAAATTTGAGAAGAAACTTCTTCTCAGTAAGGGTAACAGAACACTGGAACAGGCTGCCCAGGGAGGTGGTGGAGTCTCCTTCTCTGGAGACATTCAAAACCTGCCTGGATGCCTTCCTGTGTAACATCGTCTAGGTGTTCCTGCTCTGGCGGGGGGATTGGACTAGATGATCTTTCGAGGTCCTTTCCAGTCCCTAACATTCTGTGATTCTGTGATTCTGTGATTCTACCCTGCTTAAAAAACAAAAACCCAAACAAACCACCAAACAATAATAACAAAGAAAACCCAGCATGGGAATAATCTACTTTGTACTTCATCTTGCTTTTCAAGGAATGGCAGCTATTTGCAGAAAGCTAACTGTTGTTGGAGGTGGTAGCTGCGGTTAAAAAAAAATCTATGCCACGAACAGCTTCCCAAGTCCTATGAGCCAGCTCTGTTTGATACTTATGCTGCTGACACAGAGGTAGATGGGAAAGAGATGAAACTAGTTCTCTTTGATGTGGCAGGGAAGAATGAAGTCAGTTACTGAAATCTCCGCTCGGTGTTCTACAAGGGCACTGATGTTGTTTTAATGTACTTCTCCATGGACAGGCCCAACTTGCAGCAAAACACCCTTGATTTTTGTGTTCCAGAAATCAAAGTGTTCTGTCCCACAGTACCTGTTATTCTGGTGACTACCGAGATGGAACTAAGGGGTGATGAAGGTTTCGAGAAGAAACTAACTACTCCAGGCAATGAGGCAATCGACACCTCAGAAGGAAAAGCTTTAGCTGCCGGCATTGGGGCATATGCTTACCTGTTCTGCCTAGACAAAAGAAGGTGTTGATACAACTCTGGAGATTATTAGCCAATGTGCATTGAATGATGAAAGGAGGAGAAAGAGGCACTGCAGGTGCTGCCGAATTTTGTTGGATTCCATCATGTAGAAAAGTAAGTAAACATCTTTGTTACTACTGCTGCATGGGTGCTATAAGAGCCGCTTTTTTGTTATAGGAGGAATAAAATCCCTTGTGTGCAAAGTGTCACACTTGAAAAATTTGGCTTTTTTTCCTTCTCCACCTCCAAAACAGGCCAAAGAGCACAATTTCAGATCTGAGCTGAGTACTGGTCTTGAGAAATGAAAATGACCAAGCTACAGTTCTCCAGAGAGGATTTTTTTGTTCAGGGGAGATAAAGTCTAAGAGAGGAATCTAAGGCAGAACTACTGGGACAAGCACAAGAACATGTTGCTCAGTAAATCTCATCTCAGCTTCCGGGTAGCAAGGTTTAGCGGTGAGCAGCTGTGCTGATGCGGTTTTCTACTATGCGCTCCCTTCCATACGCTTCCTTGAAGGATGTCCTTAGGAAAGAACACACGTATCTGATAGTCCGCTGTGCTAAGAGCAGGGGCGTTCCGACTGGACGAACACGTCTGACGTTCTCTAGGATTCATTCGTGGTGCTGGTCCGGACTTGGTTCCATAAATGCATCAGGAATACAATGTATAGCATAGGGTGCAATTAAAGCCAACAGGTCAATAAACTGGGGTAAACCAGCTTGGCTCTGAGGTAGGATGATGCAGTTATTGATAGAATTCCTACTTTGAAAGCAGACAAGTGAAAAAGACCAGTTTCCTTATGGTCTGAATGTATCTTAAATCTTTCTGTCTTTCCTTAGCACTTGCAGGCAGAAGACATGAAGTAAAGGGAACACCAACAACCACGCTCTCAGCTTTGCAAGTCATTAACAATCTGGGAAAGGACTGAGACATGCTGTCAACCAAAGAAGAAAATCTTAGACTCACAGAGATAGAACAAAATGGAAAGGATTTGGGTGCGTCTCGATACTCCTCCCTTTTGTGAAGCACTGGTTGCTGGCAGCCCAAGGAGCTGACTTGTGAACTTTAAAGGCACAAGTCTGGAAGTGGGCAAATAATGTGACTGCGGGATTTGAAGACATGTGCTGTAACACAGTAAGCAGAGAGAGAAACATTTTAAGGTAAACCCCTTCTGATTCTGAAGTAATGGTACAGGACTAATTGAGCATAACTGTCGTGAACTAGGAGAACACGGAAGTCTTTCACTTTCTTTTGCTCACTTCCTCAGTGCTAGTTTCATCATTCTGGCAACTGGGTTACAGTTTCTCAGGCAGAAACGAAATGAGAATAAACAAAAATTTCTGAACCGATTATGCCACCTGGAGCTGTACGTTGAGCAAACTTTACATTTCTGAAAGTACCTTTCTTCCAAGAAGCGCTGAGTGCTTTTCAACATGAATTACCAACCCACCTCCCAGTGGTAAGTAGGTGTTATTTCCATTTTCCAAACCGAGGAATTTTAACTGCTGCCTGGAGTCACTGTGAACTACCTACTTCTTGGAGCTTTCTTTTACTTGACTTGTTTTCTATACCCTTTCCCTTTTGCCTCCTGGACCATTCTTGTGTCAACTTCCTCTCTTTCTATAATAATTCCCTCAGTGCAACCTGATATTGTACCCAAACTCTTCTCCCCATGCAACTTGGACGTGAGTGTGTGCTGTGCCTAAGTGCTCTCTTACTTCAGGTAGAAACATACAGCAGCGCATTTCAAAGAGCTGTATTTATGTACAGAGGTTTAAATGGTTATTTCCATTTTATATGTGCATGTGTGGGTGGGGAGGATTAGACTGCAGATTAATTAAAGAACACAGGTGTCTCAGCTGCTTCTGATGTGGGATATTGAACTGGAGAGAGGCAGTTTTGCAAAGATGTGAAGCACTTATTGCTCCCACTGCTTGGAAAGTTCAGATCACTTTGGTGGGTCTGAGCTTACATTGTCTGTTGTTTAATAGGACACTGGTCAGCGTATTGACTGATGTCTGTTTCAGTCTCAATAAGCAAGTATTTTCCTCCAGAAGGGTGCTTTGTTCAAGATCAGGGTAACCAGTTTCGCTCCCAGTATTCACTGTACGTATCTCTGAATTAAACTGTTGTTACACTGATCTTAGTTTCTATTTCTTGACATGAACATTTTACTTTTTCTGTGTGGAATGAAAGGTTGGCAATGTGTTTCCACTGTATACTCCTCTGCAAATGGAACAGAGAAATCCGTGGGAGGTGGAAGTTTTTCATCATCCTTTTGCTAAAGCGGTGTAAAATCTCTTTCTGCCACTTCTGTCAAAAAATGCAAATGCTCTTCCTCTTCATCTGTCTCAGAGCACTTTTGCAAGAGCAGGTTACTGTGTGGCAGTTCAAGGAATCTGCTGGACAATGGTCCATATTTTAGGACATCTACCTCCCCTGAGAAATCCACAGACTGGATAGTTTCCTTTTTTTGTATTTTGGCCTTGGCGTGTGATGCAGAAAGAAGGGGATATAGTCAGGATATTAGCCCAAGACACACATATCTGGGATTGCTTCTACATTCCACCACAAGCTACGGTCTCTGTGCCTGTGCAGAAGAGACCGTGCGCATCGGTAGGGCGAAGGAGCTGGAAGAAAGCAGTGCCCCCACAGCAGTGGGGAGCTCGACAGGTGCCACTTCATCCTCCTCGTTTCAGATCGTGTCTCCAGGAGCCTCCGCAGGCTGCAGCGTGCACACACCCTGCGGCTCACGTTGGGCTGCCTACCCCCAGGCCTGCTGGTTGTGAAGAGCTCAGACGTTGGCCGTGGGAGAGCTAGAAATCCTGCTCAAGGCTGACGCTGGGAAAGGGATACGTGCCCATATCTTAAGCAAAATACATCTGGAACAAAAATCCATAAAGATGAATTCAGACAGAAGCAAACTGCCAAAGGTCAATACCCAGGCTAGACTTGAGCCAGCGGTGCTATTCTCTAATGCAAATCTTTCTTCCAGGGTTGGAGGGGAGAGGACTGGAGAAGATTGGAGAAGGAGAGGGAGAGGAGAGGAAAATCACAAGCTGTTTTATTAACCATACTTTTTTTTTGCTTTTGTGAATTTAAATATTAAGTATGGCTTCTTATTAAGGAAAATAAAAAGCAAAGGAAAGAATTAATGCAGAAGAGAAGATGGAAAACAACTGAACATTCACGTATCATTCAACAGCACCATTTGTAAGATGAAATACTCTGTTTACTCCCCCAACACAGCAATCTGAGACAGATGTCCCATTGAAACAGCAGGAGAATTTATACTGTATTAGGTAAATATGATGATATGCATTGCAATTAAATAAGAGCTTCTTTATGGTTTCAGTGAAGCAAATAACAAATAAATGATATTTATGTGTCTTGGTAGAAATAAAGAGAAAGAAAGAAAATCAGTACAAAATAATAAGGCAATAAGTTAGAGCAATTTTCCAGTTTCTGTGCAATGGCAGTTTAGTAGCCTGCACACCTAAGAATATTGTCAAGACAAGATTTATAGGCCAGCTGGCCGTTGGGAAAAAAAAAAAACCACAGAAAAGCTCCTGGATACACATGTCTTCAAATACCTCTTCCAGATCTTGTCTGATAAAGGACCTGACTTCTCCCTATAAAGCTCTACACATTATGATAAGCCTTGAAGACTATGACTATCTAGAGTGTGTTTTGTGCAGAGATTTAGACATCCAGAAAGTGATATATCGATAGTGCTTTAACAAAAACACACCCTCACAGCACATGGTACAGACCTTTGGAAAGAAAAGAAATTTGAAACTAAAAAAAGCCCTATGTGTTATTTCCTTTTTCATTGCCTGTTTTGCAAATGGAATGCAGAGAGAGTAATATGTCTTGCTTAGCAATACCAGTCTCCGTTTTGTATTAGTTTCCTGTGTAAATAAGTCTTCCTAGTGGACAATCTATCAGTTTATCTACTAATTCATCTGTTTACTCAAAATTATCATCAGACAGGAAGCACGCTATATTTTATGAAAATAGATTCTCTTAGGATTTTGTCTCAGTTTTCTTCATAATATCTTACCACTTAATCAAATTCATTTTCTGAAATGTACTGCATCTGTTTTAAATAATTCATCAGCTTAGAGTGTATCTCTGCAATCACTCTAAGAATGACAAACTGGTACAAGAGCCTGTAATTTGTTGTTATGTTTATATGGGAATATGGGGCTGGATCACGGCATTTCTCCGCAGCAGCTCTGAATAGTGGATGAAAAGGCAGAGACTGCAGCTTTATTTGCCAAATCGAAATTTTAGGTGTTGCTGAGGCCTTGAAAGCCTCTTTTTTCAGCTTCATCTCTGCTAGAGGACTTGTCCATCGCTGAAAGTACCTCCACGCTGATGATGTGTTTGCATTTCAATCTGCTCAGTTCCCGAACGTGTGCTTTATGCCAGCTACCGCCTGTGTCAGCATGAGATGGCTTTCGAAGGGGGATTTGTCTCAGCATATCCCTTGGGCTGTGCCTGCTGAGGAGACAGAGCGGTAGAGGAACATCCGATTCATGAATCACACCAGTGACTGGCTTCTGGCTTCAGTTACATTGTGAGCAGCTTTGGCAGTTCAGGCATGTCTGAACCAAGCGGTGTCACCAGGTGGACGTGCCTAGGTGCTGGGAGAGAGGGGTTAGCTCCCTGTTATCATCCAACCTTGGCTGAGGGGGAGTTTGCCGGCTTGAGGTCATTAAAAAGTGCAGTCTTCTCCCTCTCAATCCTGTTGCTCAGTCTTTGCAGAGTCTGTTCTTGGCTCAAACCCAACCACTAGCCCAAGTGACCAGGTCACTGGCACATGCTGCTGAATCCAGTAGCCTGGGAGAGGCAAGGCTGCCACAGCTCCCTGGCCCCAGGCCCGGCTGGCAGTGGGGCTAAGCATGGATCCCCAGTAGGCACATGAGCACACACGTTTTCAACACATACCTATGTGTATACATGGCCAGCAACACAGAAACGCTCAATACACACAAACAGCATCA